AAGAGAGCAGTCCTGCAACAACACCTTAGAGACAGTACCAAACCGGATGTTCTAATTTTGCAGGAAACCCATGGTTTAGCTAAGCTACCGGGATATCAGGCGATCGGCGCTCCAACAGGGGATATTAGAACACTAACCACTCTAGTAAGGAAGGGACTCGTAGCAATCTGCCACGACACCCGCATCACAGAAATTGAGCATATACTCGTACAACTTGCCCCTACAAGAAAAAAATCTCCGAGCATATTTATTCTGAATTTGTACAGCAATCCCACACGCATACGACAACGCTTCCTTCTTCTCTTTAAGAAGGCCGTAGATATAGTGCGACCCAATCCACTCGTCATAGGTGGAGACTTTAACGCTCCACACAGTGCTTGGGGATACGGATACACAAGAGCCAAAGGAAAAACGCTATGGCAGAATATTCAAAAAACAGGCTTAACTCTCATCACTGACCCCGACTCCCCTACGCGTATGGGAACTAAACTTGCAAGAGACACCACTCCAGACTTAACGTTAGTTCGTAACGCGGGGACTGCTAAATGGAAAAACACATTCGATGATTTTGTTAGTGATCATCGAATATTAGAAATCAGGATAGAAACCATAGCTGCCGCAGAAATTCAGAGACAGATTAGATGGACTGACTGGGATAAGTTTCGGAAAGTCAGAAACGAGAAAAAACAAGACCCTATCAGCAATATTGAAGATAGGATCAAAGATGTCAATAACGACGTCAGCGAGGCAACGCGAAGCATCACTTCAAGTCCACCCCTAGAGCAGATTGATAGTCGTTTCCCACACATGTGGGAGGCCAAACAATCACTGCAGAATAGGTGGTGGGGACAGAGGCACAACAGGCCCTTGCGCAAGTGCATAGCCAAGCTGAACAAACAGATCGAAGAACATTGTAAGCAGCTAAGCAAACAGCAATGGGACCAAGTTTGTAATAGTTTCGATGGCCAAACGAATGCTGGTCAGACATGGCGCATGCTCAAACACCTGCTAGACCCAGATAACACCAAATCAGCACACAAGCAAACCTTGCGTAAACTGGTGCATTGGTATAAGGGCAGTGAGGAGGACTTTATCGCTGAGGCTAGCAAACACGTACATTCCCGCCATGCCTGTCGTAGAGCACGGACCATATTCCGGAGGCCCAAAACCAGTTCTTAGATGAGGAGTTTACTGTGGCTGAAATCAGGGCTGCGCCACAGAAGCTAAACACCAAATCTGCGCCGGGACCAGACGGGATCACTAACAGAACACTACGGAACCTTGACGACCAAGCCATAGAGAACATCACGCAATATATTAACGAGTGCTGGACCGAGGGTACTATTTCGAAACAGCGGAAAAAAGCTGAAGTAATCCTCATCCCCAAGCCAGGGAAACCCCCCGATCTATCGAATTTACGCCCCATATCACTAACGTCTTGTGCTGGGAAGCTGATGGAACACGCTTTTCTATACAGAATCAACACTTATCTTGAGGAGAACGAAATCTACGCAGATTCCATGTTGGGGTTCCGCACATGGCTCTCCACGCAAGACGCCATGCTGCAAATTAAGCAGCAGATTCTAGACAAAACAATACCTGGGCGAACTTAGGATTAGACCTTAAAAAAGCCTTCGACAAAGCATCGCATACGGCAATATTACATCAGATCTGCCAATTAAGCTTAGGATCGAGAGCGTATAACTATGTCAAGGATTTCATAACAGACAGAATGGCATCCTTCGTAATGGGAGAACTGAGATCTGAGGAAAGGGTTATGGGCAGTGCTGGTACACCCCAGGGTTCGGTCATATTGCCAATGCTGTTTAATCTGATCATGATAGGACTCCCTGCGCGGCTGAACTCAATATACGGAATACATCATTCTATATATGCAGATGATATCACCATCTGGGCATGTGAAGGCAGTGACGGAGAGATAGAGCAGAGACTACAGAAAGCCGTCACCACTATATAGGATTATCTTGAAGGTACTGGCCTCGAGTGCTCGCCAGATAAATCCGAACTCCTCCTCTATCGCCCCACGCTTAAAGGCAGACCACCCAAGGGATACAACCGGGATCGTGCTTACGAAGAGATCCAAATTCACACCAAAAGCGGCAGGACTATTCGTATAGTGCAACAAATCAGAGTCCTTGGACTCATTATCGAGTCTAAGGGTACAAACGGTGAAACCGTCTAGAGGTTAGTAACCAAAGTCACCACCGTAATACGGCTAATCAAGAGAGTCACAAACAAACACCAGGGCATGAAAGAGGCTAACGTCATCAGGCTTATTTATTCATTCGCCATAAGTCATATTATATACGTAGCGGTATATCTAAACCTGTATACGGCCGAAAAACTCGAAATCAACGCACTCATATGTAAGGCGTACAAACAAGCTTTAGGCCTTCAGATAGAACCAGCAACGAATAACTGTTTCAACTGGGCTTACATAACACTTTAGAGGAGCTGATAGAAGCGCAACAGATTGCCCAGTTGGAGAGACTAGCCAGCACGTGCACGGGACGGTGTATCCTTGACAAGTTGGGGATAAATTACTATAGGCAACAAGGAAGTAAAGTGCCGGTTCCAAAGGTGATCAGGGAAAAGATCCAGGTCCCCGATCTGCCCAAAAACATGCACCCCGAACTTAATCAGGGCAAAAGAGAAAGCCGCGCTAGAACTCTACTTAAGGCCTATGGCAGAGACAAGGAGGCGTTGTTCGTAGACGCAGCGGAGTACCCTAGTCACAAATCCTACGTTGCAGCAGTAATAAACACCGACCGCAAATGCGTAAACGCTCGCTCCATACGCTCGGATAATTCAGAAATCGTGGAAGAGGCGGCTATTGCACAGGCCATAATTTCCCCAAAGTGTAGGTATGTCATTAGTGACTCGTAGTTGGCAATCCATAACTATGCACGAGGAAGAATATCTCGCGAGGCAACTAACATACTCCTCCGCAAGGTAAACCTCATATCATCCGAGGAGTTCGAAGAAATGTATATTATATGGTTCCCAGCCCACACCCCGTGTGCGTCTCCTATTACCAACCTCAACGAGGAAGCTCACCGCGTAGCGCGAGGTCTCACTTACCGCACTCGCGATGGAGCTTCACATGAGGTACTGGGAGGAGAGGAGTGGTGGGAGAGGGACAGAATGTTTAGGTTCTGCGATATTATCCAATTCTACCAAAAGTCGAAGCGCAGATTTCCACCACCTAGCTCCACATTAGACAGATCTCAGGAGGTTGATTGGAGGCGACTTCAAACTAGAATATTTCCCAACCCGAAGCACCTAAATCGCATCTACCCTGAACTATACTCTGATGACTCTTGTAAGCTATGTAGCATGAGACGCGCCACCCTAGAGCATATGTTATGGGAATGCACACAGATACAGGACGCCAGTGCTGTCTCCCCAGAACAGCGTGGGGCACGGTGGAGAGCCGCGCTGATCAGCTCAGATCGGACAGATCAAAATATGGGCCATCCAGCGAGCACGAGAGGCGGCTGAGAGACAGGGTCTCTCCACCGCCCAGGCCTGGCGCGGCTTAAGCCTACGCCTCAATCTGCTGGTTAAATAAAGTTTGCTCACTCACTCACTCACTTGAAGGTTGGACGATGACTCTGCAGCTAGGACAACTTTTATTTTATAAGTGGCACTATATTGACACCACCTGTTTGGCACCATTGAGCTACGCCACACACGGACCACTCGAAGCACGACTCCAAATGACAAATGGCTTGCCTCAACAATCGCTGCAAAGATCAAGATGGCGTCATCCCGTGTTTACTTATTAGCTAGGTGTGGACTCTGCTACTAACAGCTGCAATAACGTCTAGGTGAGGCTTGCGGTGCACCACTTTTTTCAATGTAAAAGGGCGTGTTTTTTAAAATTCTCAAATTTAAGCCAACCCCAGAGTTTGATGCATATAAATCTAAAAAAAAAAAACTGTCAGTCTAGTTTCGAATAAATGGGGTAACTTTATAGCGATTTTTCGTGTACAACAAACTTATTTTCGTTTAAGATGCAACTTTGTTATAATGAGGTTTGAGTGTGTAATTGGATGGCATGGGACAAGCACTGAAAACCAAGGAAAGTATAGGAAATGTTATTGGTAGTGATTAGAATGTATATGTGGAAAAAGAAAAGTGAACGAAAAGATAACTTGCTGCTGGCAGAACTCTAAAGTTGTGTCTAGCAAAAAAAAAAAAAAAAACCAACCTTTTAAAATTCCAATTTTTTCATTCATAAATGCGAGTAGCTCTTTCCGGCTGTCTGGATGCCTTACAATAGTACATGAGGGATTATTGACCAGCTAATTAAAGTGTCGCATGTTTAATGACGCCAGGAGGCAGAAGAAAAAAGCGTTCCTATACTTGCCAACATGGCTGCTGATGGAGCCGGCTAACACACCCAGATCTAAATGCACAAATACAAATGTAATTGAATGCGAGCTTTTGGGCCCAGGACTGCCAGTTAAGGAATAATCGATCAAAGAGTGCAAATGCATGCATGCACTCTAACACACACACAGACACACAAATATACATGTCTGAAGCAGCAGTCTCTTGCCTTGTTTAACTTGTGGCTTGTTAGACCCTCATACTGATAGATTTTGTGAAACTTCTTTTTTAATTTTTGCACTTGTCAGTGTGTGTGTGGGCCTTGCAGAAGTTATGCGTGTAAACTTATTTGATGCATGCTGAGTAGCCACTTCTCTTGACAGCAGTAGCACTGCGTCAGGAAGTGTCAAGAAGCCAGGATTCATAGATTGCGGATTGATGCTTGCTGTAACACAGACCCGGTGGGAGTTCGGCTTCAGTGAAAACATATTCAGTGTACAATTTTATATATGAATATTTTAAAGCCTGCTCTTGCAAACTGACCCCCACCTACCTCAATTGTTCATTCATTTAATAAATAAAATCAATCAATCAGAGTTTCGGTAGTTCAGTTATGGAGCACCGTGATCTCTGTCCTCCTGCAGGCTAACTTGGGAAAGATGGACACCTCGACGGAGCAGTGGAGGATGGCCACGGGGAACCTTGCGTTGCTTCAGGTAGGTCACTTGCATCATATGCATCTCACATGAAAAATGCTGAGCCTGAAATTGAGTGGAGAAATTAAGTTCTTGCGATCTGGAAGCACAACTTGTGGTGCTCTTTCTGTCGATCCATTGAATTAACCTCCGCTGTTTGAATGTGTGGCTTATATGCGGAGATTTCTTTTTGAATATTTCTACGAGCTGTAGAATGGGATGTCAGTTACACAGGAGAAACTACAGTGATCTGTTATTAAGCATGAGCGAGTGCATCTATTCAATCGGTATACGGTTGCAGACATGGATTGGCTGCATACAGAGCAAAAGTAATCGAATTTCCGACACGGAAGTCTGGTCAGGGTTTCACATTAAGAGAAGCGGCATGTTTAAGCTGCTGATCTATTCACTATGTTTGTAAGTGTTCTGGCGGTTCTGTAGCAAACATGCATCTTCCCCGCATTTGGACCTTGTCCTGCATGTGATCTGCCAGGGGTGTGGAATTCGTTGCCTTTTGGTGCAGTCAAAGTGCTTCACTGAATAATAAAGAAGGCATTGCAGTCCCTGTCATGTAGTACAGCAGTGCGTAAGACAGTCGCAAACCAGCAGCAATTGCATGTAAAAAGTTTAAGTGAAGCTAATAGCTAGTTCATCACAGTCTATCAGAGGCTGCTGTAGAAAGTCGCACTGATATATACATTGCAGTGAGATACAAAGCTGAACAAGTTTGGGTGAATCGATGCATTGTAGTGTATTCTGTCTGATATGACTAGAGATGGGAACTTCAGGCACGAAAAAAGAATGTTTTAGGCACTTATAATAGGCCCTAAAAACTGCCATTTAGGCATAAATAGGCATTAAAAACTATCTTTTGGGCATATATAAGCATGAATTCAAAATTACTTCAGTTGCATGCTCAGGACAAATATTCAACTTCTAACAAACACAGCAAGCAAATTCTGTGCTTTGGGAAAGCTAAAATTAATTTGTTTCATGAAAAGAATTAACACGAAGCATAATCATTTGAACAGATATAGGTGAAAACTGAGGTAATTTGACATTGCGGGAAATGGTATGAAAACAGTGACAAACCAGCATCATATTGAGGTTCTCAAGCTTGAATTGTGCTTGCTTTCAGTCAGTATTTGCTTTTATGCGAAAAAGAATGCTCAATGTCCTTGAAGTTAGTGAAGCGTACTTGTGGCCTAGCACTTTCAATGCTTTAATTGCATCCAGAATACTTGAGTCAGCACTACTCGAAACTTTAGACAGTTACTTTAGCACATACAACCTGGGATTATTTCCAAGGCAAATTCAAGCTTTGAGGCAACCCTGTCAGCGACAGGGTCTATTGGGGACGAGGCAAACTTTTCGTGCACATCTAAAAAAAAAAAAGGGATACCCTTAAGCTTTCCTTTTAAGCGTTGAACACGATAGCGATCCTGTCACTAATGCATACTTTCACCACTTAGTGCATATCTTTATTGCATGATGTTACTCGACAAGCTTAAATTGTGGATTACTATACAGTATAATCGACTAAAGTTGAAAGTGGCTTGTTTCAGTGAAGCTTTCACATATGGCTGCATTCTGTGTAATTGGTGCATGCGAGTTCACAGATGTGGATATAAAAATAACAAAATGAATCTGTGTGCCTGGGGAATGACTACGAATATACATGTTATTCGTGCAGATTCAGGGGTTATTTAAATAAATTGGCAGTTGTGTAACCAATTTTGCAAGCTTTACGCCTATGCGTGCTTCAGATTGGACATAAAACTTAAAATATTGTTGACCTTTCCAATTTCTTCTCCCCAGCTTTTCACATGGACCTGTTTCTCGATCGACGAAGTAGCGCTGTGATCCACTGGTTCATTGCCAGAGAAGGTCATTTTATGGCTTCTCTTTATTCCGCATTGCTCGGCAGACTTCCAACAGCTACCGTTAAGAAAAACATAAATTCCAACTAAACTTGCGTGTAAGCTGTAGGCGGCAGCGCTAGCCTAGCTTAGTTTTGGCTTATTAAAGTACGTTCTCGCTATACTTGTACTCTCGCCTCCCAAACACAACTGCTGAGCTGCACTGCTATAAAACTTAGCGAGGTGGATCTTCAAGGGGAAGGGGGTACACTAGCGTTAGTCTTTCCTCGCTTTGCTACAGTACACTCTAGCCACGCTCATGCGACTGCCATGCTGCACTACTCTCGAACTAAGCGACAAAAATTTTTTAGGGGGATCCACTAGCGCTATAAGCCTCGAGAACAAACAGTGATCGAACACTGAGAATGAACACTGGCAAGCGGGCCAAATGACGTCACGGCAATGACTCGCTTGCTCCACAACCGAGTATCACTTTTTTCTGAGCCCGCCACGTGCCCGGTCTTACGCGATGCGGTGGTTAACTGCTCATTATTGCAATGCAAAGCTACCAAGGTGGAAGGCGGCTGTTTACACTGCTATCGAAAGTTAATTGTGCTGCAGAAAGCTGTGATTATCTAAAGAGCAAACTCTTGCCTAAACGGGAGATTCACTGTGAAAATGGTGGTGCATTACAGAAAGGCATTCGTTGTTGTCAATGCTTACCCCAAGAAACTACTAGTGCTAAATGTATTTACACTGATAATTCTAGCTTGATCACATTGGCATGCACTACGAGATTAGAACATGTGTCCCGAAAGACTACAAATAATAAAATTAGTGTGTTTTCAAATTCACTTATACATCGCAGTTTTTATGCACATTATTTGGGTGATTTGACAACGTTGCGCGTTTTGCTGAAAAAGACGTATGATGATCCGCCATAAATTTTTTTAGTATATCCAGGATGTATAAAGTCACACACAAAATATTCCGGGTAATGTTACGTTAGTGTAAATTCCCTAAATATTTCTTCTAAACAGCTAGCCACCAGAAATTATGGGGCCGTATACAGTGCAGTCCACTTATAACGATATCGAGAAAACCTAAAAATATGATCGTTATAACCGGTGATCGTTATATCTGGACTGCCGCCAAAAAATCGTCGCCGGACGTACCTTTTGTAGCTCCAGGCTTCATTTCGCTATTTTCACTAATTAATAAATATTGTAGATAGTAGGATGTCAACAACAAGACTTTATTTCTTACTCCGAAGAACGCATCACGGGTTCGCTGAGGAAGAGAGACTGACCGACGGCGGGGTGGGAGCAGTGGGAGGAAGAAAGCACAGCCAGAGGTACACAGCCGGAATGCCAACGAGGCCCCGCCCCGATGCCGCCGCGCCGCTTTGCTTTTCGCTTTTTTTATTTTCTCTCTCTTTCCCGCTTTCGTTCGGCAATCTACGAGTAGCTTGCCGTTGTAGAAGGCGGGAAGCCGCGGAGCGCGGCACTTTGCTTTTCGCATTTTTTTTTTTAAATTCTCTCAGCCTCTCCGCGGTCGACGCGCGGCGAGGCGCAAAACGTGACACAGCTGGCGCCATCTGTAGCGCGTCGCGCCAACTCGCGATGCTCTCCTCGGCTTTTTGAACGGCCGGGACGCGCTGCCGGCGCTGTGCTGCAGTGGCGGCAGATACGTACTCGCCTACGCTAACTTTTCGTCTTGTCTCGGCATAGTTCGTTTCAGAGGAACTTATCAATCTAAATGTTACGATTATTCTGAATGAAACATGCCGTCCACGGCAAACTTTTCATCGTTGTATCCGATGTGCGGTGGATAACATATCGTTATATATGGTTTTTTTCCCCATAGCCCCAATGCATAAAATGAGACTGTTAAGTCGACCCATCGATATAACCGATATATCGTTATATGTGGTATCGTTATAAGTGGACTGCACTGTATTCCGATTTGCATGAACTGCTGGCCCGATCAAACACTGCGTCACAAGTGGTATTGTTTAATTCACGTTGGAGCACTATTGATAACAAAATTTGCAAAACGATTGAAACTCGAAAGAGCATTGTGAATGATTTTGATGGTGCTCTCAGCGATGTGGCCTACGTAATAACTAACATTATTCGCCTCATTGAGACAATGTCTGGTCTCGCAGGTCCTCTCTACATACAAGTTAATGAAGCTCGGGTGTTGGTGTAAGAGCGCCGTTGCTAGGATGCTGCATGAAGTTTTTGCAATTAACCTCAACTCGTTTTTTAGTGAAATGAAGTCCTGAAATTACTGTAAGAAAAACGTCAAACTACATTACGAGTGAGCGAGTAGATAAGAAAAACAAATACAACTGCTGTGGTGGTATTCTCAGCCAAGCGCTTTGAAGATGTTTTGCGAGCCTCAATACTGCAGGGGTTTTTCCAACTGTGCGTAGAACTTGGTACACAGGCAAAAAAAAAAAAAAAAATCTGCAGCCAGATAGTCGCTTGTGTCCGACACAAATAAAGCTTTTGAAAGCTTTATTCGTGTATCCGACTCAAATATGTCCGACACATGTGTCTGATGCATGTTTACAACACAAATAAAGCTTCTTTGCAGAGGTTCTGTATCTCTGAAAAGAACCGCTCTGAAACAGAGCAACGTATTATTGTAAATATAGTGTCATATGTGTAAAAACCACGACTCGAACACGGGACACGCTGTTCAATAGCTTTGTACTCAAACGCAAACATGTTCTTGTGCTTCACTCACAATGGCATGCTGCTGCCGCAGCCGAGAATCGAACCCATTTTCCTGTTTAGCAGTGCGACATCACAAACCCGATGAAAGTGTACGGTGGAGCGCGGTAACCGTTACTGATTATACTGCACAAAAGTTTTATTCGTTTTACTAGGAGTGTTGTCAGTGCTGTTTTCGTCATTCATCTGAAGCTTGAGTCAAGTCGAAAGCGATCACAAACAGCGGAACAACGTACGATGCGAGCGCATGTTATATTAGGCGCGCCATGGCAGGTGTTGAAGCACCCTTGCCATGGCGTTATCCAGGCATCCTGCCAGGCGGCGCCACCTCAACTTCTCGGGGCTAATAGATGCTAGCCTCGCTGTGCCGCTCTGGGGTACAATCCCTGTACACGTAAAGGCCATTTATAGTGCGAAGTTATCAGAGCGTTGGCAAACCTCAGATGCGTTGAAGCGATCGGACGAATCTAGTTATGCGTTCGCTGTGGCAGTGCTTTGACTTACGATCTGTTTTCAATGACATGACACAGCGTATGCGTGCGTCGACCCTATGTTGAACCATAGTCGCACCTTACCAGGAGCTAAAAACATGAACGAAAAAAAAAAAAAAAAACTAGCGCACTATGCACGTGTTGTTAATAAGGCTACACTTGATGCTTCTTGCTTTCCTTCCTAATAACAGCTCATACAAGCAAAATGTTTTCTCAACAAGCGCGAAAATGCATATTTAGGCACTGAAAAGCTGATATTGGCGCAAACCTCAAATTAAGCACTTATAGGCACATTAAATGTGTGATTAAAATGTTTCCTATTCTTTAGTTCGTATTTATATGTTAAATAGGCTCAAAATGGACTCCAGGAAATAATTGGCACTTTGCCTAAAGTTAGATTGGCATTTTGCCTAAAGTTAGATATGACACACGTTCTACTTGTCAATAAAGGTGGCCTCTGTAAATTTAAGTGCTCCATGTAATACGTAGCTGCTAGTAAAAGGTAAAAACAGTTCAAATAAAGAGTAAAACAGTGAATAGATGCACTGGACGAGCACTGTCCTGTGTGTCCGTTCCCTGTTTTACATCTAATTGGCATTTTTTTTACCTTTCACTAATGTGGGACCAACTAGCCCAACGAAGCACACTTTTGGAATGCTATGTAGCTGCCGTTTAAGCCTGTGCTGATGACAACAGACTCTCTGATTGAATAGTCCTGCGTCATTCTGCTGCTTAACCTTTTCCCACATTGTTCGTTTATTCAAGCACAACTGCAGAAAATGGACGATGAATGTAAGTATTTGGCCTCTTGTGCTGCATTTGAGACATGTAACCATAGTTCTTACGAGAACATTTTTTCAGGGTGAGTTAGTTGGTCGGTAAGTTTGCTGAACGTGTTATTTGTCACTCAAAGCTTGGAACATGACGACGAGAAAGGAACAAAAAATGTGAGTGCCAGCTACCGACTCTTTATTGACGGCAAAGGCTGCAAGCCAGAAAACTTCTGAATATAGGCAGATGCGTAAAGAAGGGACGTCATCTTGCTTGTGTCCATCTTTTGTCGTGTTATTCGGATAACATTTATACCATGACGAACCAACAAGCAAGCCCATTTTGCCGCCCTTGTCTTCTGGAATGCATGAATGGCGGCCAGCATATTCTTTCAGCGACATTTACTGAGCAGTTCTTGCTTTTGAACTGTCAATCATCTATCAAGCTGTGCACCAAGCAAGAGCTACATGCAAGATGCACTTTCATAATCAGTGCACTGGCAATTACACTTTTGGCAGTTGTGTTCTGCAGAAGAGCCAGCCCAACAGGTTTCATGGCATTGAAAATGAGTGTGGTGCATAGATCAGTCGGTGGTGGTTGTGTCTTAATTGGTAAATGCTTGTGTAGTGCTGAATGGGTCAAAATTTTAAATGGAAAGCCGTGTACTTTTCCTTTCATTGTAGTAGTGTTTTGAGAAAGAGTGAAAGGGGAGAGGTATGAATGCCTACGTCACAAGCAGGTCTTGAAACACCCTTGGCCGGCTTAGAATTGGGGAGTGTTCAGCTGGTGACATGTTCAGACCGACCGTGGACTGTCGATAAGCAGGACGAATGGTTGCATGCTCGCACGCACACACACATACACGCACACACACACAGGCGTTCCAACTATCAAACAGCTGGATTTCTAAAAAATAAGAACTGCTTTACGTGAAGCAAACCTACTGAAAATTGTTCCCCGTAAACTGGAGTTGCTATCCCTGATCTCTTTGTTAGTTTGCTTTATCATTAAATATATTTATAACCTGACAGGTACTCATATAATTATCCAAATGGCTATGTGGCATATGTAGGCATGCTGAAATGACATCTGTGTTATTCTCAACAATGTATTGTGTGGGCTAAGATCAAAATGTAGATAAAAACATATACAATTTTATTGCCATTCTTGTTTAGTTCTTTTGTAACCCGTTATGATGTTTGTATGTAACCATCAATAAAAACAAATTCTGTTCTTGTCAGCTTAATCGTGTGCTCATTTTTCTGGCTGATTAAGAAAAGCTACGAAAAAAGAAAAGATAACATTTTGATTACGCTCCCACCCTCAAAAGAAAGCAGCACCCTCAAATACGCCTACTGTAAGCGACCGCTTTGGCTATTTCCCGATGCAAGAGACAGCATTCTGCTCTTTGGCAAAGGTACAGGTAGGGTGCCAACAATATACATCACAATTTTATGGGGTTCATTCAGCTGGATTGTATGGCATCATCATTATTTATATCTTGCAGCAGACAGTACTCATTGATTACATGGCTAAAGCTCTGTTCTAATTACACCCAACTCTAACACCAAAGATGTGTTTCCTTGGCCCGGTAGTGACAGATGGGCGATCCGCATTTTTATCTTTCTGCATTTTCAGCACCTCATGGTGAGCCTGTTTGAGGGTGCTGCATCTTGATTTGTGCTGCAGTCTAGTCGCTTGTCACTTTGCGACTTTCAAAGCTTTTGCAAATATAATAATCTCTGATTTATTTTGCTTTATTAGTAAAAGAAATTTGTGGTGGCTATGCCAATGTACTTGAAGAGTAATTTCTAGGTTTGCTTCACTATTACACTATTCCTCTTTTTTTTAACTTGAACAGCTTGATGGTTGGGACAATCTGTACATATATGTAGGTGAGGTGGTCACATCCACAGACATGCTTCCTCTCCTCTCATCTGGGAAAGAATGCTTGGCAGATTTGTGGCTCATGGGCACTGGCCGAACCAAAGGTGGAGGCAGTTGACCTGGCAGCGAAGCTTGCCTCCTGAAGCCATGGCAGCAGGACAGATCAACATGTTTTTGTCACAGTATTATATGACAGACTAATTTGAAAAGCTATTCCAGTAAAATGCTCCCCAGATGACCACATAGAGCTTTAAATCAAAGGTTACGATGGGTTCGTTGAAGGATCCTTTAAGAGGCCCCTTGTGGTTCGTGCCAGTGAGATTGCGCGGCGCCTGATTGCAGTGCCAGGCAACAGTGGTGGGCTTCCTTGCCTCACTGTTTGCCATGGTGATGGGCTGGATACCCGAGGGAGTGTTCAACTGGCGAGACGCGCTCCTGCTGTGTGCCAGCAGCCTGCTGACGGCCAGCGTGGCCAGCCTGGCTCTGGGCCTGGTCATGATCGGCGTCGTGATCGGCTCGCGCAAGTGCCACGTGAATCCGGACAATGTGGCCACGCCCATCGCAGCCTCTCTCGGTGACCTCACCACCCTGGCACTGCTTGCCTTGGTTGCTAGCTTCCTCTACTCCTGCCTCGGTGAGTGTCTGCAATGGGAAATATCACGCTTTCAAGACTGGCAATTCAAGGGTGTTTATAGAGGCCTATTACAGCAAACATGCAGTTGCAAATTAGAGGATTGGTATTTGGAGTAGATTGGTATTTTCATAATCAGAGCCCAATCAACCAAAGGATCTAGCAAGATTCCGTACAGGCTATTCTACAATATACCATATTCATTCTCTTAATCAGGTAACAGGGAATTGCATGGAATAGAAACAGCCTCTATACATAGCCTTCATAGATTACAAGAAAGCGTTTGACTCAATCGAGACATCAGCAGTATTGCAGGCACTACGGAAGCACAGGCATCAAAAAACCCTACATAAACATACTGGAAGAAATTTATGGCAGATCCACAGCTACTGTAGTTCTCCAAAAGAAAGTGACAGAATCCCAATAAAGAAGGGTGTAAGGCATGGAGACACGATCTCTCTAAGGCTATTCACTGTGTGTTTGCAGAAGGTTTTCAGACTCTACATTGGAAAGAGTTAGGAATAAGAGTTAATTGAGAGTATCTTGGTAACCTGCGATTCGCTGATGACATTGCCTTGATGAGTAACTCGGGGGACGAATTACAGCTCATGATTACTGAAATGGACACGGAAATCAGAAAAGTAAGTCTGAAAATAATATGCGCAAAACTGAAGTAATGTGCAACAGTCTTGATAGAAAACAGCACTTTGCAATAGGTGGAAAGACACTGGAAGCTGTACAGAAATATTTCTACTTAGGACAGGTAGTAACAGCGGAGCCGAACCATGAGAGTGAAATAACTAAAAGAATAAGGATGGGGTAAATCACATTCAGCAAGAATTCTCAAATCATGAATGGTAATCTGTCACTAACCCTTGTGGTGTCTCCGAATTGGCAAGCGCCACACCACGCTCTTGGTAGTGAACGGACACAATAGACACGGTTGGTCCAAATCAAACAACATACATTTATTTAACTAATTTTAGAACGACGATATCGTCTGCCGAATTATCATGACATAAATCATGATCAACACACTAAGACATCCTTACACAATATTACCATTCACTCCAGTACATGACAAACACAATAACACATCCAAAACGGCATCGCCAACGCTTGACTTACTACGAGGGCCCCCGTCGCGCAACCCGCGGTGCCACGCACCGGGGACCCACGCTAGAGACAACCGCTCGCGGCAACAGCTACGCGCAGAAGAGAACAGCTTATTTCTCGCTCGCTGCTACAAAGGCTTGTCGCCGCCGGCGCTATATGATGATGATGATGATGATGATAGTGGTGATCACCACTCGCGTACACAGTGCCACCTATCGCTCAATAGTCGTGACCCCGAAATATGGCTTCTGCGCGATAAACCTGCTCCACGCAGCGCAAACAACTTTACAGGAGAGTGTCAGTACCTTCACATTCTCTCAACCTTAATTCAAACCATATTATGAAAAAACAAAGAAATCAGCTACACAAGCTCTAACAAAAAAAAGACAACACATGTTCCTTCAAAATGACCATGCACCACGACACCGCCGCTGGTCGACACTGCTGCACTGTCCGGCTCGCCGCCTTCACCTCAGTACCGGTCTCGCAACAGCAACATTGCCGTCGGCGCAATGATCCGTCACTCGCACTGACACGTCTTCCGGTTGCGACCAGCACTCACGAGGGGGCCGCACTGCAGGCAGTTGCGCAGGTCCCAGGCATGTTCATCACCCGACCTTACGACCGACCGCATTTCTGGCCAGCGGCGCTGACGATGTGCAGAAGACAGCCAGCCGCGGGTTACATCACTCCCGCTGCGTACATTACAAAACACTCGAAAGAACAGTGCAGCAGGCCAAAGTGAAGGGAGCTTCGAGCTCCTCGTCCACGTGGTACAATGGTCAGTACTGCTAGCTAATACATCAGCGGCAACCGAGACTCCTAGCTCAATTAAAGAAAGGTCACTTTCCTTAACTCGTGCGTCGCAAGATAAAAAGTGAGGGAAGCAGAGTCCAACTTTTCGACGCCACGATTTACCTAGTTTTGCCACGTGCGACAGGCGGCTGCGCAGAGCCTTAGGCCTAATGAGTCGCTCGACAACAGATGGCATCCACCCAGCGCCCAGCCTAGGCACAGAAGAAGCAGCCGCAAGGAGACGTCCAGTCTGTAAGGTGGCCCTATCGCTCGCCGCACACAGCAGCTTACCGAGCGATCAGCGTCCACCGCTCCGGACGGGGTCACGACGCCCTGGCATCGAGCCGCAATACCAGACAGCAACGACGCCTGACTCCCTGAGCCCAAAGAGATATAAGAAGTGAAGCTACTTACAGAAAATCGGACCACCCACTAGGCTTCCGTACTCACTCGCTTCGGGCCTGGCCTACAATCCACGTGCTCTAAGCCTTGCTCACCCCAAGATGCAGACCGCATGGCTTTCATCTCAATCTGAACAACGTTCTTGAAAACCACCAATAACATAGTAAAAAATAAAACACTTGCGAGCAGAAAAAAAAAAAAAAACTCGCGTGCCGACAAGTTCAAGCTCGTCACAAATACTGATCTCCTCGCTCTCAACAAAGCACACCACCGATGCTAGCAAAGAAGTCCCCCCCCCCCCTAGGCCTACTCTACCCCGGCTTTAACAAAAGCTTGCACTGAACCGCAAAAACTGTCGTCTGATACTCCAAGAGCTCCACGTTGGGCAGCCAGTGTAGGGTCTCGAATTGGCGACGCCACCACCACGCTCTTGAAGTTAACGGACACAGCAGACACGGTCGGAACAAACCAAACAATACATATTTATTTAACTAATTTAGAATGACGATATCGTCCACCGAATTATTATAACATAAATTGTGATCAACACGCTAAGACATCCTTACACAATATTACCATACACTCAAGTACATGACAAACACAATAACACACCCAAGACGGCGTGGCCAACGCTTGACTTACCACGAGGGCCCTCGACGCGCAAGCCCATGGTGCCACGCACTGGGGACCCACGATAGAGACAACCGTTCGCTGGCAACCGCCATTGCGCAGAAGAGAGTAGCTTATTTCTTGCTCGCCGCTACCAAGGCTTGTCGCCGTCGGTGCTATATAATGATGATTATGATTGTGGTGATCACGATGGATGGATGGATAGATTAATATGGTTGTACCCTTTAGATCGGGCGGTGGCTAACGCCACCAAGCCGTAATACTTAGTGAACCAAAAACTAGATTTATTTGTTTTTTTCCTTTAAATAGTGAGGTTGAGGACTCATACTTTGCATCGAAGGGTTTAATTTTCACTCGTTCCTTGACTTTAGCTACCAATCAGATAACCCCCTTCTTGTTAATTGTACCCGCTTAAAGTCTATTTTGCCCTCCCTGTCTTTAAACCCCAGTGCTTTGAAAAACTCTGCGCCATCATCCTGAACTATAGGGTGAAGCCCTTTACAGAACATTATCAAGTGTTCGGCAGTTTCCTCTTCCTCTCCACACGCACTGCATACCGTGTCTACCCCTTCGTATTTGGCCCGATATGTCTTGGTTCGCAATACTCCCGTCCTGGCCTCAAACAGAGAACTACCCCGAGTATTATCATAGATCCTTTCCTTGGCAAGTTCCTGCTTGAAAGTTTGATATATCTCTAGTGCGGACTTCTTAATCATGCCAATTCTCCACATATCGGTCTCAGCTTCCTTCACCTTCTTCTTAACCGATAATTCTTTTTGGTTTGGCCCCCTGCTGTTTTCTAAGTATTTACCAGTCAATTTTCTGGTTCGCTTTCTCCATTTTGTATCGACATTGTTCATGTACAAGTAGCAGAATACCTTCCTAGCCCAACGCTCCTCCCCCATTTCTCTCAATCGCTTCTCAAATTTTATCTTGCTGCTAGCTTCCCTGCCCTCAAATGATGTCCATCCCATGTCACATTGTACCCCCTGATTTCGTGTATTCCCGTGAGCTCCTAAGGCAAGCCTACCTATCCCATGTTGCTTAATTTCTAATCTTGCTTGAACTTCTGATCTCATGCACATGACCGCATTGCCGAACGTCAGACCAGGAACCATGACCCCTTTCCATATTCCTCTCACAACATTATACCTATTGTAGTTCCACAGTGCCCTGTTTTTCTTCACCGTTGCATTCCTGTTACCTTTAGTCGTCACGTATATTTTGTGTTCCCTTAGGTACTCGACCCCATTGCTTATCTATACGCAAAGATATTTGTATTTATCTGTTATCTCTAGCCTGACCTCCTGTATTCTAAGCTCACTACCTTCATTATCATTAAAAATCATGACTGCTGATTTTTCCTTACTGAATCTGAAATCTAACCTATCTCCCTCATTCCCGTAGATGTCCATCAATCTCTGCAAATCTTCCTTGTTGTCAGCCATTAGCACTGTATCATCTGCGTATGTCAATGCTGGTAGTGCCTGTTCGATGCGTTTTTCTTGTTTGACGAAAGAGAGGTTGAACACTAGTCCACTTCCCTCTAATTTGGCCTCTAGTCCTTGTAGGTACATCATGAATAACAAGGGTGACAGGGGGCACCCCTGCCTAGGCCCCCGTTTTACCTCTGCAGGCTTGGATACCTGTTTTTCCCACTTTATAACTGCCTTGTTACCTTTATAGATATCCTTTAAAAGATTAATGACTCCATCTTTCACACCTAGTGTGTCCAGTATTCCCCACAAGTCCTTTTGAACCATGCTATCGTACGCTCCCTTGATATCCAAAATGCAATCTACAAGGGCCTGTGTTCCTTTTCTGCTATTTCGATGCACTGCGTCAGTGAGAACAGATTGCCGTCCAACCTCCTGTGTTTCCAAAACCCATTCTGCAGTTCCCCAGAACCCCCTCATCGTCTATCCTATGCCTGCAGTCTTTCCTTTATAATCTGCATCGCCCGACCTGTAGACCACTGATGGCACTGTTATAGGATGGTAGTTGTTTATGTCACCTTTGTCCCCCTTTCCTTTATAGATCATGCTCATCCTGCTGAGTTT